CGATTGGTAGCTCGTGGTTTCTCTCAACAGTACGGACTAGACTATGATGAAACGTTTAGTCCAGTGGCGAAGCTTACAACAGTACGAGTCTTACTTGCACTTGCAGCCAACAAAGACTGGAATCTGTGGCAGATGGATGTAAAGAATGCTTTTCTTCATGGAGAGCTAGATCGGGAGATCTACATGATGCAGCCAATGGGCTTTAAAAGCGAAGCTCATCCTGAGTACGTGTGCAAGTTAAGAAAAGCACTCTACGGTTTGAAACAAGCACCAAGAGCGTGGTACGGTAAGATTGCAGAGTTTCTAACACAAAGTGGTTATTCAGTAACACCTGCAGATTCCAGCTTGTTTGTCAAAGCCAATGAAGGAAAGCTAGCTATCGTGCTAGTATATGTGGATGACTTGATCATAACCGGTGATGATGAGGCAGAAATTCTTCGGACGAAGGAGAATTTATCAGTCCGTTTCCAGATGAAGGAACTTGGCCAACTCAAGCACTTCCTTGGTCTAGAGGTTGATCGCACACAAGAAGGAATATTTCTCTGTCAACAGAAGTATTCCAAAGATTTATTAAAGAAGTTCGGAATGCTCGAATGCAAGCTAATCTCTACGCCGATGGAGCCAAATGTCAAAATGAGTGCACATGAAGGAAAATATTTGGAAGATGCGACGATGTATCGACAATTGGTAGGTAGTCTGATCTACTTAACCTTGACTCGACCTGACATTTCTTATGCAGTTGGTGTGATGAGTCGATACATGCAAAATCCAAAGAAGCCTCACTTGGAAGCAGTTCGACGAATACTGAGATATGTGAAGAGTACAATTGACTATGGTCTTTTGTACAAGAAAGGTGAAGACTGCAAGTTAGTTGGTTACTGTGATGCTGACTATGCGGGAGATCATGACACCAGGAGATCAACAACTGGGTATGTGTTTAAGCTTGGTTCTGGAACCATCTCTTGGTGTAGCAAGAGACAGCCAACGGTATCTTTGTCAACCACAGAAGCAGAGTATAGAGCAGCAGCAATGGCAGCTCAAGAGAATGTATGGCTGGTACAGTTGATGAGTGATCTACATCAACCAGTAGATTATCCAGTACCATTGTACTGTGATAACCAATCGGCCATTCGCTTGGCGGAAAATCCAGTCTTTCATGCAAGAACTAAACATGTGGAAGTGCACTACCACTTTATCAGAGAAAAGGTTCTACAAGAAGAGATTGAGATGAGACAAGTCAAGACGAATGATCAAGTTGCGGACTTGTTCACAAAAAGTTTAAGTACAGGCAAGCTCGAAAATTTTCGCTGTCTGCTCAGCACAGTGCAAAGAATGAGAGCTGACATTGAGGGGGAGTGTTGAAAATCAATGTCAAAGTTAGGCAAGGAAAGTTAGGCAATGTTAGGTATGGTTGAATAAAAATTATTAGGTGCAATTAATGTGTTTTGTGTGGTAATAAATAATCTTAGTTTAATCATTTGGTTTGCTATAAATACCTAAGTTCTCAAGCATTGTAAATCATCCAAGGAAAAACAAAGCCTAGAGCTAAATAAGAAAAGCTTTGCTAATTAGTTTGTTTTGTGAGCTTTCTTTAAGTGTGTGTTCTATTTTCTTCTTCTTGGGATCATTAGAGTTATCTTGGATACTCTTCTTATTCAACACCACCCACCTGGTACTCCACCCCCACCGTATTACCCACCAGGCCCTCCGCCACCTGGTCCTCCTCCACCGCCTTACTCAGACCCCCACAGACCGCCACCACCACCTTGGGGTCGGCCTCCTCCACCTTACTAGGTAATTAATTTACAGCAGTTTTTACTGATATATCTTATTTATTAGTATATGGTCTACATACGTAGGGACGTTGGATGCGCGGGGAACGTCTGATCAAGGCCGCTACTTTAAGGAGAGAAAGAAATAAAAGATCATGTGTATAGACGTTGTAAATCTTATTCATGTTTTTAGACCCTATTTTTTTCATCATGGGTGTGTACTTTCACGATTCAAATAATGTAATAATATAATTGCAAGGTAGATAATATTTAGTTTGGCTTGGTACTTCATGTGTATTTATCCCCAGATTTACCTTTCTATGAAGAAGAATACAGTATCGTGAATCTGCAAGCCGCAAACCTGAAAACTGCAGAGCTCTCTGTGTGATTGTATTACGCCGGAAAACATAGTTGGAACAAAAATTGGTGCAAGCAACTATTCATATATGCCAAAGCTTTTGTGTTACCGTATGTTTATAATACAGGGGACGACAAAATTGAAACTATTTCACACAACAACAAATAAGCCCTTTAATTAGTGAGGACAGAAAATTGTCAATTCGTCGCAGAAGGAGGAACGCTTCCTCCCTTGATTATAATATGGGAGGACAACAAAGTTAACTGATTTTTAGGGTGCATTAATGAACAAAATTGCACGTTATAATTCGAATGAAATAATAGCATCATGTGGCGGTGTATTGAGTACTCAAAAAAATTGGAGGTTGGGTTTGAAATCCGTTGCTGGTGTGGAAGTTAGATTTGTGACCAAGAAGAGGTTGAAATGTCTCTGTGAGTCTTCCTAGTCCCTAGAAGGAGTGAAAAACCGTAACTTGGCACCAGTTGTCCCATTTTTTTTTAAAAGAAACTTCGTGCATGGTTTAAGCTAAAACATTCTGAGTAGACATGTCTTTGAAATTTTGAATATCCTCTCCCTTGCCTTGGTTGCCTGCACAATTAGATAAAAATCAATGTAATTACTGAAGCTCTTGGCAATACACATAAACTAAAGTTTAGGGGTGGATTCAAAAAACTGAAAACCAAAAAACATTGAACCAAAATTATTAAACCGAACTGAACTGAATTTGATTTGATTCGATTTGGTTTCTGAGGTTCGGAAATCAAACCGAACAGATTTATAATTAATTATAAATTAATATTTTTATTACTTAAACGGTGCCGTTCTTTCAGTTTGAAAGGTAAACCCAACTCCCTTGCCCTACGGGTCTTCCATCTGCCTCTGTACTCGGTAGTCTGAAACCCTTCGCTTCCCTTATCCTTCCCAAATCCCAAGTTCCCAGTTCCCATTTGCAACCTCCGCCGCTCCGCGCACCTGCGACCTGTCCTCGTCTTCTTCCTTCCCAGCGACCCGTCTCACTCTCAGTCAGTGTCGCCGTCTAACTCTCGATCTTTCACCCCCGTGACCCGCAACCTCTTCTGGCTCTGAGTCCTCTTTGCCGTTTCCAGTCTCGAGTCTCTCGACCCACGACTTCCTTGGCAAGGTTAGTCAGTCAGTCTCTCATGTTCTACAGATTTTCTTTGATAGTAATGCTTACTGTTGTTGTCAATTAGAAGAATCTGATGGGTGAGGAAGGGGTTGTCAATTAGAAAAAATGGGAGGTTTTGATTTAAGGGTTTGTAACCGTTGGCTGTGCATCTGATGAATCCTGACAAGGAGGTGCTTCTGCATTTGAAAGCGTGTGCGAGGCGATCGGATTTCCAGTTGGGTCTGAACATTCATACCCTTGTGGTGAAAACCGGGTCGACATCGATGTTTATGTTAAACCAGTTTGCTCTGTTTGTAAGTGAAATGTGGGTATTTGGAACATGCACATAAGATATTTGATGAAATGCCGGAGAAAAATGTTGTTTCTTGGACTGCCGGGTACAATAAAGGGTTTTGTTGTGTGGTTCTTCTCTTTTAAAGATTTAATATCTTCACTTATTATGGTAGAAAGGTACCTGCATAATCTAGATATCTCTATTGAGATTTGGTGTAATTGTTAAAGCTCTTTGTTAGCTTATCTGAATGGTTCTTTTAATGCGAATGTACATCTCCACTGCCTGAAGGGGAATTTGAAACGCGATTGCTATGCCATGGTTGGCGTACTTTCTGCTTGTGCAAGATTAGGAGCGCTAGAATTAGGGGACTGGACTAGCAATTTGATGGATAAAATTTCAGATTTCATTTTCTAAATTTTTTTTTGAAAACCCAAGAGAAAAAAAACCTAAACCGAACCAAAAAAAACCAAAACCGAAAAAAAAAAAAGGGACCGAACTGAAATTTCGGTTTGGTTCCAGTTTTGGCAAAAAACATAACCGATTTGAATTGAACCCAGCCCTACTAAAATTTATTCCAGCCATAATTTTAAGAGATTATATCTAAATATATTGTTTTGGTTTACTGGATTTCCAATTTTTTTTAAGGTGAAATATATTTAGTAAACAAAGGCACCTTGAAGAAGAAAGAGGGAAAGCATTTGACTACCAACCTCATTTTGCCAATATATGAAGGAAGTTACGGAAGCAAACAACAATGCCTGGACAAAAGAGCCTGTCATCATTCCGATCCGAAGTCCTATTTCCCTTAGATGTAAAATAAAACACTATAAAATTGTTACTGGAATTCCTACTGCATAATATGCACCAAGATTTATATGCTGCCAATGCAAAGAACATCCTTCAATTTTGAGCACGAAAAGTTCACGAAAAAGTTCAATTTTGTGCACGCACTTAGACAAGTTTACAAAATTCTATATATACTAAGAGCAACTCCAGCGTTGGAGCCCTCCCCCCTGGCAATACACTATTCAATCCACCTAATGAACAGTAACTGCCCTTAATGAACAGTAAGTAGCCCTGGCAATAGAATTTGCATCTCCACCGTTACACTTCAATAGCCCTGGCAATAGGCAATAAAATATTAGTATTTTTTTTTATTATAAAATAATACAAAATAATTTTAATTGTAATATCGGATAAGATTTTTAATCGTTCTCGGTGCGCCACGTGTCATTATCCGAAGTATTATTAAATAATACAATTATTGGTGATGGATTTCTGATAAGATTATTAACCAATCACGTCGCGCCACGTGTCATAATCGGTTCACAATCTTTGAGGATAGATTTCCATCAGATTTTTAACGAATGACGACATGCCACGTGTCATAATCCGTTCACAATCTTTGAGGATAGATTTCCATCAGATTTGTAACGAATGACGGCATGCCACGTGGCATTATGCAGAACCTAATCATTTCTGAATCCTCTATATAATCCACCATCCATCCTCACAAATCTCACACCAAAATTCTCAAGATCTCTATCGTTATTCATAGTTTCTGCTTCCTTATTCACAAAAATTTGTATCATTATTCATAGTTTCTATTTCTTTCTTTCAATGTCGTCTTCTTCTTCCTCAAGGATGATGTGGGAATACAATCAGGAAGAGGAAGAATTGTTTAACGAATCTGAAGCAATCTTCAATCACCAGAGGGTAAGAAATGAGAGGGAAGAGGATGAGGAGCGTCAAATGAGAAATGACGAAGTAAGAAGGGGCAGAGCCTCACATTCCCGTCGAGTCATCCAAGCTGCGGCTCAGATCTGCAGGCCCAGCCGTTCCGGAAACCTTGATAGAAGCAGGCAACGACGAGGTATGAAACTCTTGGATGATTATTTTGTTCCTAATAGTGCATTCCCTGATACGTACTTTAGACGTCGTTTTAGAATGGAACGACATTTGTTCAACAAAATCATGATTGCTGTTTGCAACCATGATTCTTATTTTGTGCAAAAAAAAGATGCTTTTGGTGCTATGGGTCTACTGCCTGAGCAAAAAATTACTGCTGCCTTGCGGATGCTTGCATATGGAGCATCTGCAGACCAAGTGGATGAGATAACGAGGATGGGGCAATCAACCATTCTTGAGTTCCTGATGAGGTTTTGCGGAGCAATCGAATCTATCTACACCGCTGAGTACCTCCGCAAACCTACACACATGGACTTGGAGCGGCTGTTGAAGAAGGCGGAGATGCGTGGCTTTCCGGGGATGATTGGAAGCATTGATTGTATGCACTGGACGTGGAAAAACTGTCCAAGTGCATGGCAAGGCGCTTACGGGGACAGAAAATGAGCAAAAAGTATCATTCTGGAGGCGGTGGCATCTTTTGATACATGGATTTGGCACGCCTTTTTCGGGGTCCCGGGAGCTCAAAATGACATCAACGTCCTTGCCCAATCCCCAGTGTTCAACGATGTCTTGCAAGGAAATGCACCAAAAGTTACGTATGAGGTCAACGGACGTATGTACGACGGGCCATACTACCTAGCTGACGGCATCTACCCGCGCTGGTCAACCTTTGTCAAAACAGTGCCACGTCCACGGAGTGCAAAGGAAAAACACTTTGCAAGCTGTCAAGAGGGGTGCAGGAAGGATGTGGAGCGTTGTTTCGGTATCCTCCAAGCTCGCTGGGCGATCGTCAGGGGTGCTGCCAGATTGTTTGATGTAGAGTCGCTTCGATCCATCATGATGACGTGCATCATTCTTCATAACATGATTGTGGAAGATGAGTACGATTATGAAGTCGTTGATGAATATGAGCCAGACCCGATGAACAATTCAAGAACACGTATATATTGTGCTCATGACGCCACCGATGAGCCCGTGCAACATGAGCCATTACAAAGGGATGGACGTTACAATGAAAGGCTCATTCAACGATATACTGCATTTCAAATGCCAGACATGCACAATGCCCGACAAATTGACTTGATAGAGCACCAGTGGGCATTGAAACAAGCTGAAAATAATTAAGTTCATTTAGTGTGTTTTTTTTTAATTTGGTATGTTTATGTTATTTTATTTGGTGTGTTTTATTATTTGGTATGTTTAAGTAATTTTTTTATGTTTATGTTTATGTAATTCTTAGTATATGTAATTCTTAGTATGTTTATGTTTATGTTTATGTTTATGTAATTTTGTTATGTTTATGTTTATGTAATTCTTAGTATGTTTTATGTTTATGTTTAATGTTTATGTTTATGTAATTTTGTTATGTTTATGTTTATGTAATTCTTAGTATGTTTATGTTTATGTTTATGTAAAGGACTTTTAATTAGAACGATGGACTTTTAATTAGAACGATGGACTTTTAAATTATTTTATACAAGGACTTTTAATTTGAACAATGGACTTTTAATAAATAACTTACCAAATTAATTTGAATAAATATTCAAGAAATTGGAAACAACATAAATAATACAAACAATAAATAATAAATTACAACCCAAAGTGATTGGAAAATTATGGGCTCCGATTACAAAAAGTACTCTATTCATCATCACTTAACCAATTTGTGGTGCTAGGATGATCTTCTCTTGCGGTGCTAGAACCACCTTGGCTTGCTATTGCTTCTCTTGCACGCCTCCTTCGCACAACGTCCGCTTTCTCTGATTTCCAAAAAAATTTAGAATTTGGAGACTTCCCTTCTAAAGACATGTTCATAATCTCACGATCTTGTTGAGCCCGTCTTTCTTCTCTAACATGTTCCCTTTCTTGCCTAAGTAGCTCTCTTTCTCTCTCATTAGCATAAAATTCTCTCTCAACAGCTGCTTGTTTTGATGCCTCTCTAGCCTTTTCAGCCTCATCTTTCGCCAGGTCCCTTGCCAAAGTCAATTCACCTTGGCGAGTAAGTTCTTCCATGAACTTTGCATAATCGTTCTTGGAAGCA